TACATATATATATATATACATATACATATATATGGAAATGGCCTATTACATGTAGCTGCTTCTTCTATATATATATATATGTTTAACACAGAGTAAGAAGAAGAAGAAGCGACTGACGAACTCGCAGCTAATGAAATGAGGACGGAACTTTGCATATGATTTATGATTTTCTATTACGATATTTTGATTAAGCTTGTCAAATTATGTTATAGATGTTAAACGAAACTTTGAAATAACTGCTGCTTATTTATGGGATAGAGAATGTAAAAGAAAGTAGAAGACTTTATACAGGAGGAGGATATACAGTTTCTTAGCTGCGATATTGAAAACGTTGCGAAAATGGATGACAAAGTTTTGGCCGTGTTTCACAAATTGAAACTGACTGAGAGTAGTTCATATTTCGATAAGCATTTCGACTGTGCAACAACAATATTTGTTGCCACCGCTGCTGTCCAATTTTTGCTGCTATACAATGCATACAGGGAAACAGGCAGCAGAGGCAAAGCCAGAGGCAGAGGCAAAAGAAAAACTGTTTCGGCGTGTACATTTCAAAAGAGAAACGGAGCGGAGTTCTTTGTAAACGTGTTTAAAACTAGAGCTCAATGCGAGCCATACAAACAATGTCTGGCATTGTGTTGAGAGTCAGGCGCAAAAAAGTGATGGAAAAGGGCGCTGTGGAGTGGGAGTAGGAATCGGAACCGGGGTAGCATTAGGAGTCGTAGCAGTAGCAGTAGCTGTAGCTGTAGCTCGCAAAAAGAACGACACTGTGCGCACTTTTGTGCGTTTTGCATGAGTGCCAAAGAATCGAGAGGAGTCCCTGACTAGAATACGAACTATGTGAACTACGTGCACCTCGCCCATGTGAAACAATGCGAGCAAACAATGTAGAGCCGACAAAAACCTCGGGCAAATAGCCATACACCCTAGACACACGCACACACACACACCCCACACACAGACAATGGCAATAACAATGGACAAGTCCTAGTGCTAGTAAATATGCAGTCCAAGTATGTCTGTGAGTAAACACTAGCAAAGTGAACCTGAACCTCACGTCCAAAGCTCGCAGCTTCCTCGCTGTGTTCTTTGAAAAGTTTATTCCGTTATCTGCATCAGATGTCAGAGCAAGTGGAGGATGCTTCAAGTTTGACGATGAGCAGCCAGCCGAAAATGCATGCATACTCTGCTCTTATATTAGTTATAAAGCTATGGCTGAGCAAAACTCATTCCGCATATATTATGTATGTATGTGTGTAGGCTTAGCCCTAAAAGTTACTGTTAATTGAATTACGCCCTCTGAGAGCAGAGCAAATTCTTCTTATTTATTGATTAATTACCTTTGGACCATACATATTTTAATATTTATTGCGAGACGCGTTTAAAACAAGCTTGTATAGATTTTAACTTAATTGAAAAACATCTTTATTTTCTGAATTTCTTTTTGTGAAATTGCGATTCCATTATATGTGCTATAATATTTTTATAGACAATCCAAAAAGTTTGGGAAAAAGAGAAATTGTAATAGAAATATACAATCACATATAATTTCGTGATTTATTATATTCGTAATAATAATAAAAATCTAATCAAAATTAACTCGATTATTTAAGTTTTGGTTGCCTTTCCTAATCTATTTGTATCTATACAGTCCCTCTTTATAAAGGCATTGCTTTACAATTCGGATATTGAACACACCTCTTGTTAGATATAAAGTAATGTTAGTTATTCTTATTTGATACATAGCACATTATCGTATATTATCGAGGCTTCTGATATTGTCATCAGTGATCAGGGGAAGTATCAATCAAATTACATGGCCAAAGTCTGATTAGTCTTATCTGTGCAAGCAAATGTTGGTCCGAGCTTATCGCATATCAATCCTAATAGCAGCTGTCGCAGCAGCGTTATCACCGAATCATGCCCCCGAGAGTTCGATGTCAATATGTAAGCATTTCTATTAGCCGGCTATCTGGAGTTATCCTAACCATTGCGAAAAACCCGTCCCATCCCCAAGAAACTCGGTTGCCGGTTCATTTGGGCAAAAGCTTTCCATTTTCCTTCATACTTTTCTCTCTATTATTATTATTATTTTTTCTTTTTGCTACCCCATTTCCTTTTTTCCGTTTGACCTAGACATGTGTAAGTAAGCACATGTGCTGGTGTGTGTATATGTGCATGTGTTACATAAGTATTTGTGCCCTGTTTGCAAAATACGCACATTTTTACCCAATTGACATTTCAGCTAATAGCCTTTGCTATCAGCGGCACGGAAGTGCTGGGCGGGACTGAAACCGACTCGAGGCAGAAACCTTTCCCAGTTTCCTGTTTCTCGATTGTTGGTTGTTGTCCTGCCTTCCCAACGGCAAGCGACCAACAAACAAAGGCCCTCGCTGCCACTGTCTGCCTCTGTATGTGTTTCTATGTTCCCTCTCTCTCTCTCTTTCTCTCTCCCGCTCGCGCCATTTCTTTGCCTCTCTTTCTGTTTCCTGACATTTCGCTAATGGTGTGTGCGCTATAAAGCCGGCTAATGCCCGTAGAACCCTTTCACTCTGCCTTCGCTCATTCTCTCTCTGTCACTCTCACTCTCTATGGCTCTCTATGGCCCTATAATTGCTGTCCTTCGTCTGGGCATGCGAAAAAATAAGTTGTAAGTATTGAACACCGCCTACCCTCGGTGCCTTTCATAAAAGGCAACAATGGTTCAGCAAAGCAGAGGTCCTCAAAGGCTTTAGAGAGCACAAAAAAAAACGAAAATAATTGAATGGAAAAGTAACAGTTTGCTGCATTTATATACATATTATAGATATATGTATGTAGCTCGGCTGATGGATGGATGGTGAGCTAGAGCTGCTCAGGATCCGAACGGAACCCCGGCGAGTGTTGTCATGGCCAATGATGTGTATGCTACAATAATTGCGGGTTTTCCGCAGGCAGGCGACAATTGAAACGGTTAATTGTCAACTCAGTTTGGCAAACAGCAGCAATTGAAATTTGACACATTGTTAATCATGGGCATTTTTTAGGAAATTTCTAAATATTTCTACCAAATAGCATTATATACTTTCAAATAGTCTTTTATAGTAGTGCAAATCATGAGTATTCTATGGAATTCGTATATACAAATATGTATATAATGTATATAAATATTATTCTAGACAAACCAGCTCTCAGAATTTAGGCGCAGGTTTGTTTCTCATTCCACTAAAGCCTCTTTAAGCATTTTGACCAAAGCCCCAAAGGCAATCAGGGAAACTCAATTACGAGTAGCTGCCAAAGAGTGTACTAGATAAGGGGCCAAGAAACCGGGACTACGGACAGTACCAAGACGTAACGCAACAGTTAAATGGGTCATTTGGTCTATTTATCATTTTTGACTGGGCCTGTTTTGAGCAGCAGTTGGTCATTCAATTTGTGCCCTGTAACTGGCAGCAATCAATCAAAATGCGCAAATCGCAAAAAACAAAAAAAAAAAAAGAAAAGGGGGAAAAAAGGGAAAAGCACAAATAGACCGGATCAGGGCCTGGCTATCAACCCTTTTGTTTGTTGGGTACTACAATCTAAACACGTGAAATTGGGTAATCGTTTGTGCGTCCAAACAGGACAGACAGGACAGAGTCAATTCAGGAACAGCTCAAAGTTGTAAGTCCTTAAATCGATACGGGCAAGACAAATGGACCCATTTGCCAGCAGCTGGCCCCGCAGCCATTAAAATGTTTGTATGTACATATATATTTGCCTGCCAAATAAATAAATTTGCGTCCACTGRATGCTGTAACTCAATTGAAAAATGCCATTGTAATTGAAGCATTGATAAAAATATGAAAATATTAAATAAATTGTATATGCAGATATCTCAACGTTTACATGAATAGTTAATCTGATTTGATCTTGGGAAATGCCGCCTGTTAACCTGTAGCTCGATTGTATCTCCCTTTCCCTGTCTCTGTCTCTATCTCTATCTCTGTCTCTTTCTCTCTCTCTCTCTCTTTCAATGTTACTCTACAGACTCTTCATTTAGCTCAGGTGATTTACACTTTTTGTGTGGGTTGAATTGTCTCGCCTCGTTGCATGAATAATGCATTGCAATTTAAAAGCATTCTGTAAGTTTCAATCGTAACATTTTCATCATAGCCATCATTATTATCATTGCCATTCTTGTTCCAATTGTTATTCTCATCATGTTGTTTCAACGTTTTGAATTACAAATTTATGCATCAAGTTCTGTCTAGTTGTAACTTTGCTGCTCCGCGCCTTCATTTATGAAAATACCAAATGCGAAATGCAAACTTCAACAATTTTGTGTTTTTCCATGGAATTTTATTTTCCCTCGGACCAAAATGAATGGAAAACAAAAATATCTATGATTTAAATTTATACTAACTGCAATTATCAAACTTTGTACCAACGAAAACAAAAAGAAGCTGAATATGAGAGTCTATATACGAGTATATTGTTATATAATAATTTATGAAGCGCTATAAAAAAGGCCAGAAAATTTTTGGGGTACCTTAAATCTGTATAAAAAGGTTTTTGCGGCAAATTTACGTTTTAAGCAAATTAATTTAAAGTAAATGTGTTAGGTTCGAATATTTGATCTATGAAAATTAAACGTTAATAAAACGGAAACTAAAGACCGATTCGTTATAGCAGATAACGTTATAGCAGATGATTAGCATTTGGGACGAAATGACGAATCAAGAGAAGATTCAAACAGAAGCTGACACCATGAGGAATCCTATTCATTTTAATGAAACTACTAACGTCAGCCTTTGATATAAAACATATATTGATACATCAACTTTTTCTTTAACTTGGATATTAAGACTCAACCATCCGCTCATAGAAATAGTTCAATTTAATTCCATTTGGTCAACCAGAGCGCATATGAAGCGTGAATATGAACTTAACGCTAAATAAAGCAAAACCACAGACAACTGTTATCCATTTGCCAAATTGAACATTTTCTTGTGAAACTTTTGTTTTATATTTATATACATATTTCATTTTAACACGCCGACGAGGCGGCGCCTTGTGGAAAGAAAATAATAAATTCGAAGCAAGCAAATAACATTTAGATGACGATTTTGGGTCCAATGCTCGAAATGATATTATACTTAGTTATTAAAAACAGCACGAACAGCAAAATATCGAAGGCTCAATCTAAGGAAATTTTCTGTGGATCAGATGGAAAGTTGAGAATTATTTTGTTACAGATAGAAAAAGCTAACTTGTCTTGATGATCCCTTCTGTTTCCTGGCAGAATGACCCTCAACTTGTTCCTTCGATTTTTTGCCACATTTTGGCAACTTTCGTCTGTCATATAAACAGCAGTATATGCTGCAGCAAATTGTCAAAAACATGCCCATGATTAGGATTAGGCCAATGCGCACAAGCCAAGTGGCATGCTCGTAGTCTGTACCCAACCAGGAGGCTTGGTAGACTTGATCTATGGCTTGTATATAGCGTACGTAAGCGCGTATGAGCAGGCCATTCGGATGCTGCCAGAAGGGCATTGGCTCTATTTCCTGCCATTTGAAGTTCGCCAGTTCATGTAGCTCCTGAACGTTTTTGCCTATTGGCAGCTTCCGGAATACACCGTCCTTAACATGCAAAATTGTGGGCAACTCATGCAAGGAAAAGCGCCTGATCACGGTTTCCGAATACTCCAGCTTCATGCTGGCAACAATCATGTCGCTCTTCTCCAGCTGCTTCTCGTGAGCGAACTTGCTCCATGCACGCTCAAACTTAATGCAAGCCATTATCAGCGGCACACAGAAGCCGATCATCCATTCGCCCTTGAGCGTCAGATCCCACGAGCTCTCATCCAATATATATTTCTCGTTTCTTGGATTCTCACTCCACACACAAGGCTGCAGTTCGCCGACAACGTCGCAGGCTACCAATAGGGCAGCTAAGTACAACGTTTTTTGCCAGATTTTCATGTTATTCGGTTATTCAAAAAGATTCGATAATTCAAAAAAAAAAAATAAAATAAAATAAATTGTATAATATATGTATATACATAAATGTAAATACATATGTAATATGTGAAGCAGAAGGAATAAAGTGAGTTTGCAAGGCCTCCTCATTACAGAAAGGGATGACAAGTGCTCAATGCTTGAACTTTGGTAAACATGAACAATTTTTTTTTAGTTGTATTGATTAATAATATTTTATTAACTGAAAATATTTAGCTAAATTCATTTTTTTTTTTTGACAA